GGTGGATTGTAACCGTTATTTCTGGCAGTTGCCTGACGATTGCTTCGCAAGAGGCATGAAACTCAGAGTTGCAGTAAAAGTTCAAGTAACCTAAATCTTGAGGTATAATTATCCATAGCTCTAGCCCTGCTATTGAGCACTTTTTAGTAGATGATGATCTCATTCCGCTATTTTGGTTATATATATATATATATATTTATATCTATAAATTAAAGTACATACTTATTAGATAATTGAATCCTATATGCTTCAGGTTATACTCCCTAAATGGTCCGGTCATGGATCAAGGGCACTAGTGTTTCTCAAGTAAAACACATTTGAAGGGAAAAACGCATGAACTGAAAAACAAAATTTAAGGCGAAAAAAAAAAAAAAAAACTTTCCAGCATAATCTTACACATTACAGGATTGGAAATGCAGTAGTTTTATTGACAACTTTCACTGCCAAACCTTTTGTTTTAAAAAGGCAAAATACAAAGATTTAAGCATTATGTATATAACTTACCATGTAGCAAAGAAATTAAAATTAAATTACTTTCTATGCATTTTTGTTTAAATATTTGGACATATTACAATTTTAATGATAATATTAATACTAATAATATAATAACTATACTAATAAATATTACATACTTGAAAGAAGTACAGTCCATTAAAAAAATGCATCATGTATAAAACTGCATTTAACAATATTCAAATTGTTAATGCTGTCACATTAGATTTGTACAGCGGCATTTAGTTGAATTTTGTTACCAGTCTTCACTCAGGAAAGTGACATATGTTTTTCACTGTTCGAGACAAGGTTGTACCTCGGCCAACCTAAACTAATTTCAGGGCATTAAATTTGCTTTAAGGATCTTGTTGTCGACAGTTTTACTCGTCCTATATAAACGGAAAGATTAAATGGAAATGGAGGGCCACCAGTGATTTCAAAATAGATGTAATAGACAAAAATATGAAATAATATCTGTGTGATTGAGGCCTGCATTATGTAGCACTGCTAAATGATGAAAAAGTGAGCCATGGAGAAGTTTTATGTCAATCACTTCTGGTATTTAAAGAGTAAAAAAAACTCTTTCTTGTGATCCTCACAACAAGTCAAGGTTGAAAGTGCAAGTGTGACTGGGATTGGAAGTATCCTACATTTGTTATTAAAATACTCCTCTTTTCAGTAACTTGATATCTCATTTAATATTTATTTTTAATGGGGCTCAGCATCAATTGGGACATTGTTCTGCCTCCTGCTCCTATTGTTATTTCATATTTATGAATTAATTTTTTTTCATTTCACTTATTTATCTATGTATGTATATATGCAACAAATTCAATAAATCTAAATAAGACATAGTCCAGATGCTATCTGTTATATCGTTTGATCTCTGGCCAGATGTGTCAATCATTGGTCGTTCTTCTGCACAATAATGCTTGGCCAGCTTCTAGTGTCTCAGGACAACGATACAGACACAGTTTCAAGCCATTTACACTGTAAGAGAGTTTTCTACATCAGAAGAAGTTTAGCTTCTTCCAAGGTGTTCTCTGTTATTGGACAGAAACACTGAACATATCTCTCTTTCTTTGAAATCTCAATTCCCAAAACCGCACTTTCAAATCTTTTCATTTTGCTCAATTTATACCGCACCTGGTTAGCTCAATTGGTTAGAGTGCC